AAAAAAAAAAAAAAAAAAAAAAAAAAAAAAAAAAAAACCAACAATCATTGGTACGTATGCACGTAAATGAGTAAAGTTTTATAAAAATAACTTGGAATAAATGTTTAATAAGACGTATTATTATCCTTTGACTCATAGCAAGTCATTCATAAACACCATTAAATCCTGATAATTATAGCCGTAGCTGCAGGGTTACTACCTTTACAGTCCTTGCTCAGACTTCATTTAGAGGTCCAGTGGGGACATGCACACAACTGCTACAAAATGTTACTATTAACAGTTTCCTTTGGAACAGTATTGTGCTAGATTAAACATTCACTCATGAAACAAAATGTTTGTAGGTCATTTAATAACTATACATTCTGTGACTTAAAGTAACTTCCTTAGCTTTGGCTTCCAGATTTTAGGATTAGCACAATTTTCTCTTTTTTTTTTTTTCTTCTTCTTTTTTTTTTTTTTTTCTATATACAAGATGAGATTCTGTAGTGTGGAAAAGAACTCAGCAATTTTCTCTGAATAATGCAGCAATCACCATTTTCCCTGAAGTAGATCATACTGTTTTAGTTTATAAAGCTGCTTAATAACTTGCACAGTACCTCCTTTTCTTTCTTTCCTGTTGTTGCTTGCTTTCAGAACCAACTTCTTGGATAGAATCAATGTTGGTGCTTTCTGGTTATTGCTTTCAGCTCTACTATGTCTTATGAGACAAATGCTAATTTAATTTCAGAAAACTTCTGACATAGGGGTAAACAAATGCAACTCCTGTTCTTCTAGAAAGTAGTATAGTCATCAGTTTTGTAGCTGTATAGGTTCTTCCAGGTGTCTTCTAACATATACCCCTTTTAGGAACACCTAATGGAAAGGCATTTTTAGGGATATCAAAGATCTCTGTCCTAAACCAAACATCTCACAAGATTTCTTTAAACTCCAGTGTGCAGTAATGCTCGATTCCTTCTTCCTGTGTAGCTTGCATTTCCCTAGACTCTTAATTTTTACTTATTAGACAAGCTAAGAGTCAAGCACAGTGAGAACTCTGATTTCATAGCTGTGACGTTCTTTCATCTACCTGCTTTATGGCTCCATGCTTGCAGTCCCTGCCAGAGACTGTGTATCTTCCCACATGGCCAGTTATATCCCGATCCACCCTTTGTAGCATCATCCAGACTGTGTAATGTACCCTTGTAATAGTTGCAGTTGAGTTAGGTGATTAATCAAGAATGACATCAGCAGGATTTAAACCTGCCTAAGTCTGTTAGTCTGTTCTGGAATGTCTAACTGCCCTGCAGTGTTACTTGACAATTTGGCCCTTTTCAGGTGATTGCTTTAGGTTCTAATGGTGGGAAGGAATATTATATTACTTCACCAAAATGGTATCAAGTGTAAGCAACTTGAACCAACGTCAACAGGCAACTGTCATGATGATGATATACCATTAGAAACTGCTTTCATCCTCTACAGTTTTGGTTTACACCACAATTCTTCGCCACCCCGAGTGTTCTATTTTACTTACTGCAGTGGACTTTGTCTTTGTTTTCTAGTTTTATTTTTCCTCACAGCAGAAATTCTGCTGTGTACCTTAAAAAGAGCTGTGGCAGAAAGAAAGGTTTGGCGGTACTTTAATTGAAGACTGAGCCCATTTTTATGTTCTGACAGGTGTTAATACTCTTCTCCAATTTTGCAAATATTCTTCCACAGTTGGAGAATCCCAGATGGACAATATGACTTCTATAAATTAATGGCACTGTAATTAAACATATTTCAGCACACTGTAAGAGAAATAGATATGTTTGTTAAACAGAAAAGGTGTTTTGAAATGCTATGGTGAACCAATACACAAAACAGCTTCTTCTCGTACTAATTACCAGTAGTCATTGGAAAAGGTTAAACTGATGTTAAGTCATTGATATCAGTTGGTTATCTTTATTGGTGCACTTCTTATGGCCATTGTAGAACTTTAATTTAGTTTTAAAAAAAAAAAAAAAAGCGAATACTATTACTGATGGATATTAAGCAGGGAAATAAGTCCTTCTTTTTATTATCTCTTACAGATGACCCTTGCTTTTTCAATGAGGTGAGACACTGTTAGGATTTCAAGTGTTTGAATGGCAAGGCCTGGAAAGATGTTGTTTGAATAAACCTAGTTCTTCCATTTGGAAGGATTCTTCATTTTTGGCCTAATAAGATTCCTGGAATCGTTATCCGAGTCCTCACTTATTTTTTATAAAAATGTATACCAACATCTAAATATTATTTCATAAAAATCAATGAAAATGTTTATTGTGGAATTTTTAGAGTGAGAAAGAAGAGAAAATGAGGTCTAGAGATTGTAAGTCTCACTGTGTGTATTTCTTAAGGCTTTCTTCAGTTTTGGCATCTAGGAAGCTGGAATGTAAGTTTACGTGGCTGACTAAATCAGTGTAATTTGGAACACTGAATTCTTCTCAGTGTTTTGGTACGAATCTCAGAATTTTGATGTATTAATAAGAAATAATTAATGGCTATTCCCTGCCTACATCCCTTAAGAAAAGCTTCCTTCTCTGAATGCTTCTGCATGTACGTTTTGCCAATTTTTATTATTATTATTTTTATTGTTTTTACTCTTTCAGCTTTTCGGAACTTTTAAAGGAATGCCTCTCTAGATTCATTATCCTGGAAATAGTGGCAGCTGGAGGTTTCTCAGTGAAGTTTTCTATTGTTGTCAATTGACCTTAAGAGCATCTCATTCCATTATTTAAATATACATGATGGTTCACTATATATTTATAGTCGCTGCCAAATCCAGTGTTTTTAATTTTGAAACCACTAATAATGGGCTCCTGAAATCTTCCTGGGAGCAGGAAGTCCGTTTAATAATGAATACAAAGTCTACTATACTTGCTTTAATTCCTCCTGCTCATTATTTATTAACCATCACCACAGTGGTCAGCCTCTAAGAACCGCAAACAAACATTGTCACTCCAATTCTAAGACACTTAAGGAAGTATCAGCATCACAAGTGCCCTGATGTACAGCTTGGGGTCTCGTCCTAAAAGACAGACCACCCAACACCAAAAGATGTAGTAAGGCCTATCTGCCATGTTGCCTGTAACTTTTCAGATCTTTCTGACCAGGCATAACTGGTATGTGTTCTGCTGTGAATTCTGATTAGTGATGGCAGATTTTGAAGATGGTACATCCAGAAATGCTGATGAACTGCAAATAAATCTACTCATGCTGCACAACTACACAGTGACCTCATATTTGTCATACGTTGTGCAATTATTTTTCTAATGACGTGATGTTTTAAAACCCGTAGGTAATTCAATCTTTGTCAATGTTCCTATGTGATTCTAATTTCATGGTTATTTCTTACTTGATTTTACTGTCTCTCTTCTATTTCAGTTTGTTGCTGAAAATGAATTTTGAAACATATTGGTAAACGATATTTTTTTTAGTATTGCTTTTGACATGCAGAATCTGTTGAAGCTAAAAAAAAAATAGTAATTTATGGATTCAGTAAGCAGTGCTCACTTGTGACCTTTCTACACAAAGGCTGCCTGCTACAGAAGCCCTGTTAAAGACTTCTAG